TGTTTAACAATCTTTTAATCCAGGTCCCACTTTAGTTATTTTACTCTTCCCAGATAAAATCCTGTAATTCTGGCCTCTCAGCAGGGACATTTTTCAATTTGTGAAGATGTCGTGTTCAGGCTAAAGGGTTGAGTAAAAAACGCCGCCCTTTTGAAGGAAGTTCTTGTGACAGAGTAGAAGGCCAACAAACCTGGTATCTGGTCATGCGATCCTGTTTCATCTGCTCAAATTTGCGCTTGAGCTCGTTTTGGCGTTCCCCTTTCTTCTGTGCACGGCCCACGTACACTTGCCTGCCGTTCAGTTCTTTGCCGTTCATGTCGTCCACAGCCTGCAATGAAATCAACAATAGACCGCTGAAACAAGCTAAACAGAAGCCGTGTTTCTATTGATTCAAAGCCATCGGCCAGGGGAAATAGGAGGACGTCATTTCCCAGTAATTAAGATACACATGCAGGGTTACTGCCCCTAAGAGAAGAACAAGGAGTCGATACGAACCTTCTGTGCGTCTTCATGTCTCTCGAAGCTGACGAAACCAAATCCCTTTGATTTGCCACTCTCATCAGTCATAACTCGGATACTGAGTGCCGGCCCTACAAAATACAACAGACAATCATTTAAAGGCCAAATCTCACCCGTCACGAGCTAAGCTTTAAAAAGGCTCAGTCTCTGAAATGTTATAAGTGTCTTACCATATTTACCGAATAACTCCTTGAGCTTCTCGTCATCCATGTCCTCCCCAAAGTTCTTGATGTAAACATTGGTAAACTCTCTGGCGCGAGCCCCAAGCTCAGCCTCCCTCTCTTTGCGCGATTTGAAGCGTCCAACAAATCTGTTGGGTCAAACGATGTAAGATATTAGAGAAATTCACACAATACAGCACCCATACAGTTAATTCCCTCAGTTAAACTCCTGGATTACCATTATACAGCTCTAATTTTTTGATGCAATATGAATGGACAAAACCCAAACATGTTCTTGGAAATTGACTCTACTGCAATTGTTTTATCTTTCTCTTCCAACCAAACGATTCAGAGAGACGCAGATTCAGAAATGATTACCAAACTTGTTCTGTGGCATTAACAGGCAACATTGTGGTGGATTTTAGACGCCCTACAAGTGAACAGGGCAGCAGTGTGGACTGCGGGAAAGATGTGACCGCAATCTGCTTTAATTTAGACATTTGGAGTTCAGAAATCTTTGCTGTGGTATTAACTTGCAACTTGTGCTTCAAACCATGCTTCCGAGAGTGCAATATTAGGAAGAACCACTTGAAATACAAAATAGTCTACTAATTGAACACAACATAAAAACTAATAAATATATAATAAATTTAGTCATTCTGATCAGTATTGCACAAACATACACTCAAGGGTTGGAATGTTCTGTACCTATAAAAGCTATAAAGATTATAAACCTCGCCCAGGGCTGGTATGTTTTCTCATTCTTCACTCAGTTGTATGAAACCAAAAGTACATTGGGCACGGCTGGCAGACGAGTTTGTGGACAGGGTGCAGTTAAAGACAAACTATGATTAAATGTAAAACTCACATGTTAATCAGACTCCCCCTAAACATTTATACACACACACACACACACACTAGAGAATAATGGTATTCCCACTTACACTTTTCTGTCATTGAGCAACATGCCATTCATTTTCTCAATGGCCCGCTCAGCAGCCTCGTGGGTCTCAAAGTGCACAAATCCGTAACCCTTTGAGCCATTTTCATCACAAACCACCTTGGAAAAGGGAGATTTGAGCATGTCAAAAACAACACCATGCATTTAAAAATCACACACACAATCAGCTTCAACCTGGTGCAATCTTTAGTCATGCAAAGTAGTGGTCTGTATGTAAAGCACTCGAACACAAAACAAATGCTGCCCCGCCTACCTTGCAGGACAGGATGTTTCCAAATGCAGAGAAGGTGTCGTAGAGAGCCTTGTTATCAATAGACTTGTCCAGGTTCTTGATGAAGATGTTGCCCACTCCACTCTTCCTCAGGGACGGGTCACGCTGAGACCACATGATGCGGAGAGGCCTGCCTTTGATCACATCGAAGTTCATGGTGTCCAGGGCTCGCTCAGCTAAAACCAGGCCCACAGTGACAAAGAAATGTAATGACACTAGGTTCATATGCCTGATCTGCACTTCAATACCATCAGTGGTTCTACAAGCAAGTTCAAAAAATATAGTTTCATGGCATATCAGCAGTTTTAATACAGGCGAATGACATCAGCTCAGTACTTAATCATAAATCATTAAATTGCCTCACATAAAACTGTTAACTCAAGCACCAACAGAGCTAATTGCAACAGAGAGCTATAACATGGCATGTGTAGTGCATGTTCAAAATGGAGTCAGATGGTGCCACATCCCTCTCGTTAGCTGCCCCTGCTATATTTTACTACGGTGCTGTAGACCTACCGTCGGCGGGCTGCTGGAAGTTGACATAGGCATAACCGAGGGATCTGCGGGTGATCATGTCTCTGCAGACTCTGATGGACAGGATGGGCCCAGCCGGGCTGAATTTCTCGTAGAGCATGGCCTCGGTAACGTCTGGGTGCAGGTCTCCCACATAGAGGGAAGCCATCGGGTAGCTGGGCGCGCTGGGGTTCATTTCAGACGGCGCGTGTTCTCCGGTAATACGACAACTGTGTGGTTAAATGAGCTCAATATCTCACTGACAAACGCCAGTTAATATCAGCCTCCTATGTGGAATGGTTCCTCGTCTCAGTCTCTTCGGTAGCTTTACAACAATTCAAAGCGCAGACACACACACAAGCTGTCTTACCAGTTAGCAACGTGGGCTAGTTAGCTTGATTAGCAAAATGTCGGAGCGTGGCCTAACCGATGCGGCTCGAAGACTGCACAAATTTGAATCGGTACTCTTTCACAGTCGGTCAGGAAGCGAAACTGACTGAAGTACTCGAAGCAAATGTCTTCATTTAAAAGGATAAGTGGAATGACAAAGCCCTTAAAGGGAGAGAAAAGTGGTTAAATATGTAACTGGCTAACGTTAATCACCCACGCTTTCAACAATGCGGCTAACTGCTGGTCCTGCTAACGTTCCTCTCGTTCCGTCTTTCGTTCTGTTTCGAAGGCAGCGTCTTCTTCGCGTTGCTTGAGTTGGCAAATCAAATCCTGCTTCACCGATTTTTATTTTTCTTATAAAAATATGTCTGCGTGTGGTCTCTAGCTTTTGGTTTGTTTCATAATAATAAAATGTGTGCCGAGACTAGCTCCGGAGCACACCCTACGCAGACGGATTACCGGAATGAAAGAAGGTCGCTGGAGGTTGTTTCCCGATTCCAGTCGAAACCACGGCGCGTTCACCTCCAAGGTTGACGTCACACATCTCGCGATATTTGATATGTGGTTTTATTTCTGAAACTACTTTTCTTTACATTCACTTTAAATGTGTAGTCCTAGCTCTATTTGGATTTTTCAGCAGGTAATCAATGTGCCGGGGGTTTAAAAATAATTATTTTAACTATCCTCCAAAAAGAATATCCCATATATATATCCCATATATATATA